TTAGCATAATGCCGCCCAAATGTGCACGCAAAGAAAGAAGGCGTGGTTTCAGTAACCGCAGTTAGTGTTGAAGCAGCATGTCAGGGAGACGCTGTGTGTTTCTAGGAGAAAGCAAAAGCACTTTATTTGGCCTTCCGAAAGTAGATGCGTTTAGGAATCTTTAAGATTACTTGCAACAGAACAGCAATGCATTTTATGGACGACCGTTTCGTGAACCTAGGAGAGGAGGTCATTCTGACTTTGCTATGACAATCTGGCGCTTCTGAATCAGCTACTGTTTTGTTATTAGTTTAAGTATTTGCTATTGACTGTTCAAATGCGGAGTTTTGCGCGTGGCTTGTGTACTGCAAACACATATTCATCACTGTGTCTGTCACGCGACTCTGTTCCCCTTTCAGGCTCTGTCTTTACATTTATTTTGAAAGATGAAGCTCGCGATTATGGTAAGGGGCGTCACATTTCCAACGAGTGCTTGCAGTGTTGGGCCAATCACAATGCACTGGGTCAGCTGGCCAATCAGAGCAGAATGTGCTTGTCGGAAGGAGGGACTTTGTAGAAAACAAAGCGTTTGAGAGAGGCGGGGCATAGAGGACCTACAATAATGTACAGTATTTGAAAAAGAATGTGTTTTTTGAACATTAAAGCATGTCAACATATTCTGTTACACCAAATACACAAAATAATAATCTTTAAAAAAGCATCATATGACCCCTTTAAGCATATCTCAGTATTGATAATCACCATCTTGAAGGGCTTTGATAACATACCTGCGTTTCACTCTGTGGCATGTCATAATATGGCATAAATGATCTTTCGCCACTCTTTTTTTTCAACATGATCCAAGTCCCTGTCCTACTTTTCTTTTTTTTCTTTTTTTTGATAATCTGTTCCACTCTGACGTATGTCACAATACAGAATAAAACATCTGTCAGTACTTCCTTTTCATCACAATTCAAGTCCTCGAGCAACTTTTTTTTTTCTTTCCTTAATGCGTTTCACTCATATGTACGTCACAATATGGAGAAAATATCTGTCGCTATTCCATTTCATCGTGACCCAAGTCCCTGTTCTGCATCTTTTTTCTTTTTCAGTAATCCGTTCCACTTGGATGAATGTCACAATATAAAAGACAATCTATCAGTAATTACATTTGATCGCAGTCCAAGTCCCCATCCTACATTTTCTTATTGTTCGATAATCTGTTTCTTTCATCACAATAGGGAAGAAAAGATCTGTTGCTACTTACATTTCATCTCGATCCAAGTCCTCACCTTATATTTTCTTCTTTTTCGATAATCCATTTCACATAAAATCATCATTATCCAAGAACGATCTGTTGCTACTTCTATTTCATTGCGACATTAACTTATATTTAAGCCTACTTAAATCAGAATATTCCTTTAAATCTATAGCGGCAGAAAACCACCTTTGCTTGACATTTTCTTAAGGAGGATAGAAACCAACAGTCTTCATAAAGTTGAATAGTAAATATGTGTTTACTGTTGCAGTGGGCTACATCAGTAACTCCTGTGTGGATGTGGATTATGAAGAAGTGAAGCGGAAAATCCGTGGTCAAGCCATGCCCTCCTACAACCCTTCTGCGGGCCGGCTCATCAACCCAGAGGTATACGACGATATCGGCTCCAGCGACCAACTGGACAGGTGAGACCCCAAGCCTCATGTTGAGGGAAGACAGGGGGCATTTTTATGCTTTCAAAAGTTTGAGCTCATATTGTGTGTTTTTTTCTGCTTTTAGCAGCTTTCACAGTGATGGTGAGTAAACGTGCACCGACTTCTACTTTCCAAGAGGTGATTTGTCATGTTTCTGCAGTGGATTGATAAGAATGTGCTCTGCTTCTCCCAGATGTATACGATGACGTGGACCATGAAGAGTTTCCTCCTCCTCCCCCAGAGATCAGGTATCTCTCATCTTTCTTCGCATCTCAGTTTTTTAACAAGTGGACCTCAGTAACCAATATTTAATTTTGCGCAAATGAAAATGAGGCTATGAGGGATCAGGTATACAGTCTGTTTAGTGGGTTGTACCGTGGAGTACTTTAGTGTTGCTACAAAATGCAAATGAAAATAATCTGGTTTGCCAAAATCTGATGTGATCAGGACCAAACTGTCTCATTTTCATTCATTTTATGTCAATTTAAACATAACCTGACTAAAGGTGTGGTCACAGTCACTGTTGTTTGGCAAATTTTCACATGCAAAATACAGTTATTTCAATAGGAATCAACACAATTGGGTTTAATTTGGCCACGCAGATTTGCTGTGATAATGGACCTTGTTTGCCCGCAAAAGTTTGCTTAAACTTCACTAATGTGACCGCACCTTAAGGTCTATATGTGTTCCAAAACAAACAATCACACCAATTATGTAAATGTCCTCCTATGTGCTATTTCTGTCTCATATTGTACATATGAAAAGCTGAAGTGTCTTTGAACAGCATTAAACAAATGACAAACTGTCTGAATCATATTTTAACTGTGTGTTAATGGATAACTAACTACGTGCAAACTACCACAGAGAAAAAGAGGGCTTTGTTTTAACTTCCATAACCTGGAGTTTCTTCAAATCTTCTGTATTAAACATTAATCATATAATGATCAAAATAGTATTTTCAAGCAGTAATTATTAAAAATATATCTTAACGTTTCTTTTCACTTCAGAACAGAATTGTACTCATTTACAATATCTTTTTTAGTGCTGGGCAACGATTAATCGCATCCAAAATAAAAGTTTTTGTTTACATGATATATGTGTGTACTGTGTATATTTATTATGTATATATAAACACACACACATGCATGTATATATTTAAGAAAAATATATTATGTTTATATATTAAACATATATTATGTAAGCAAAAACTTTCATTTTGGATGCGATTAATCGCGATTAATCGTTGCCCAGCACTAGTCTTTTTCTTTTAAAAACAACATTGTACCCTGAATGGTATTTGTTTTTTAATGTTCTGTGCATTGTGGTGAACATCATATATGTGACAGTTTATGCCATATGGTTTTGTTTAGCCACGATCCGATAAAGTCCAAGCAGCGGGAGAAAGATGAGAAAGATTTTCGAAAGAAGTTTAAGGTGAATCTGTCTTGCTTATGTCCATTTGTATTTTACAGATTAGCTTTGATTCTTGTTGATTATTGCAATGAGAAGCTGCCAGATGTCCTAAATTGTAGTAAAAATCTCAAATATATGAAACTATTGAATAGTTTGAAGGGCCCATCCGAGTTCTGTACACCATGATGGTGGATCCTAATGCCAATTTGAAGAAGGCTGGGAGCAAGTACCTGGAGGTGGTCCGTGGAGAGATTCTCGATGTTATACAGGAGACCAGCAAGAAGCATATTCTGTGCTGTAATAAACTGGGGAAATGTGAGTCCATCACCACCTGCTGGAAAACATATGCTATTGAGGCTTTGACTTTTTTCTTAATGGGGTCATATGATGCGATTTCAATTTGTCCTTTCTCTTTGGAGTGTTACAAGCTCTTGGTGCATAAAGAAGATCTGTAAAGCTGCAAAGACTAAAGTCTCAAATCCAAAGAGATATTCTTTATAAAAGTTAAGAGTCAGCCACGCCTACCTAAAACGGCTCGTTCTAACACGCCCCCACATGTCTACATCACTATGTGGGAAGATTTGCATAACGCCGCCCAAATGTTCACGCAAAGAAAGACGGCGGTATTCGGCCAATCACAACGCACTGGATAGCTGGCCAATCAAAGCACACCTGCTTTTCAGACCGATGAGCTTTGTAAAAATCGATGCGTTTCAGAAAGGCGGGGCATAGAGGAGAAACAATAATGTACAGTATGTGGAAAATAATGTGTTTTTTTAACCTTAAACCGCATAAACATTACACCAAATACACAAAATAATGTTCTCTTTAGCAGCATCCTATGACCCCTTTAAATGATCAAAGCACCCAGAGCACTGAGAAATCAGTTTTAGTAAAAGAATAAGTATAAAATTGTTTATCATTATTAATAATTGTATGCTCTTTCTCATTGCACAGATGGATATGTACCTTTGAATTACCTTTTGCATGAGTACGTATTAATTTACATACAGTAATACAAGTCATTTTTATTTGCTAATGTTTTTTTTTAAATGTTATCAAATCCTCTACTTTCATTTTCAGGGAGAATGAGGTTTATGATGACATTGATACTGCTTCAGGTACATATATATATATTTTTTTTTAAAATCTTAAATCAGATATCTTGTTTCATCCCATCAAAAGAGGGATTTTTATTTGGTTTTCCTTGTAATTATAATAGCAAATTTGATTTATTTATTTTTGTTTGTTTTCTTACTGACAGATATATATGACAATGACGACAGCTGACCTGCTTGGAGGTGATGGTTATCATCCATGTAAAACTGTTTTCACCTGAGAAAGTAAAAAGTGACTGAACACCGACTGTTTCTTATAACGAACGAATGAATGAATGACATGAAGATGTTTGCTTCAAGAAAACTACAAAAACTGAAAACTCAAAGCTTTGTATATTGTAGAAATAATTATTTTACGGAACATTATAGTTATTGGAATTATTGTGATCGAAAATTGTAATTATCATTGGGATGTTTTTGATATTTGTTTACTTTCAGATTTGTCTATTTTGTGATATATGGCAATCTCTTTTCAAATAAAAAGAAAAAAGGTTTAAATTCGTTTTCAATTTATTCTTTTTTTTCCTCTGTGGTTCACCATTTACTTTTAAACTTTTATCCTGCAACTATTTCAATAATGATGATTTTTGGTTTTCTTTCTTTTCTTTACAAACACTTAAAATAGGCTGGAGATGCGTCGGCGCTGCGCAGACCGATCGGCGTATGACATCAAAGCACCGCGAGAGAATGTCATACGCCGATCGGTCTGCGCAGCGCCGATGCATCTCGAACAAGCCTAATGCAATGCCACTGCCTACACCAGCAGAGTGCTTTCTTTGCCAGCACACTCGACTGTGATTGGCAGGTGCAGTATGCCGTCGCAGTGGCTCTTGAAATCGGCTCTTGGCTGCTTTGGACTGACGTGAATCTGAATAATTTCCTGTACGAAGTCCACTAACCTAAAGCAAGACTGCTGTCAAAAAGATGAATTTTAAACAAGTGTAGAAAACAAAAGTCGTCTTTTATGTGTTTAATATGTCTGACGTTCTGCGAAGTTATTAATGGATGCACTACGTCACATCTTTAGGCTGGGAAATTTGCAAACGAGAAGCAGCCTCTTCTTCGCAGGATTGAGTGTCTGCAGATGAGAATTAGACAAATCATGCAGAATTCAGTCGAGTCCTTCATAAATGCGTTAGAGTCATACAGAGGAAGAGATAAAGTGGTAAGTTTGTATGTAATAGACAACACGTATGGTAATGTACATTGCACTTTAACTTGTTTTATTTGTGTCAATGGTTGGTATTGTATTTAATAAGAATAATAAATATAAAATACTTAAGATTTTGTAAGTTTAAGCAATTGTAGCCTATTGTAAGAGACGTTTCAACATTTAATTATGAGTATTGCATATATGGAAACGTACATTGCACATTAACTTGTTTCCTTTTTATTTTTTATTTACGTAAATAATAGTAGTTACTGCGTTTAAAAGTGAAAATAAAAAATATTAAGTAAAATATTTGTTATTATCAAGATTATAAGTTTAAGAGCTTGTGTATGAGACATTTGAACTTAAATGACTTTAAATCTGGTTAAAAAACTCTGTTGGTTTGTGTTTGACACATTTACAGTGCTCTGTTACTATTAAATCTGGTTAGAAATATAGTACATGTGAGGAATTAATCAGGCACATTGCATGTTCCCAGTTATGCATTAAAGCTGCCTGGTGACATCACATGTGATTTCAGTGCAGGAACTGCTGCACAATGTAATTATAGTTTTTTTTGCTGTTGTCTAGATAAGGACGCTCTGCTATGGGTCTCAGCTGGTAGGTGGAGTTCTAGCTGAAAAGAGCTCTCAGTCTTCATTGGGGAAGAGTCTCCTGCTGTTCTCCGCTCAGTTGAGTGACTGCAGAACCACTCTCAGGCTCTTTGATGACCTGTCCATGCTGGCGTACTCCACCGGCTATGGGTTAGGAGCCTCGGTGAGGACACAGGATGCCTCTGTTTAAATATAAAATTGGAGTTTTGAAGGAGAGTCTGATTTAATGGCTATTTTTTTCTTAGGAGGAGGATGCTTTGGTGCGCTGGATGTCAATTCTGAATAATGTAGCGGATCAGTTGTATTACCCCTGCGAGCACATCGCCTGGGCGGCAGATGCAGAGCTCATCAAAACCAAATCTGACAGGTGGTGGGTGCTGAGCACAGGCCTCTGGGGCATATCGCTTATCCTCAGCATACTCAGGTAAAGGCAGAGAGTGGACTGGACATCACCACATACAGTGGGGTCCAGATGTCTGAGCACACGATGAAAATTGTGACTTTTTAAAAAAGAAATTTAAACCTGGAAAGTTTTAGGTTAAAAATGTAAAACAAAGAAAGGTTATTGAATAAAATCCACTAATGAAATTAAACGATTTGTTATAGTACTGCTAACCCTGCCTCCTTTATAGTAATCTGATAAGCATATCATAAGTTTTAAAGGCTTTTATTGGCAAAAAATTATAATGAGTCAATATTTACAGTGTTGACCCTTGTTCTTCATAACCTCTGCAGTTTGCTCTAGCATGCTGGATATTAGCTTCTGGGCCAAATCCTGACTGATGGCGATCCACTCTTGCCTTATTAGTTCTCGTTGATCACAATTTGTGGGCTTCTGCTTGTCCACTCGCCTTTTGAGGACTGACCACAGGTTCTCAGTGGGATTGAGATCCGGGGAGTTGCCTGGCCACGGATCCAAAATGTCAATGTAATGATCTTCGAGCAACTTCTTTCTCCCTCTTGCTTTGTGACATGGTGCTCCATCACGCTGGAAAATGCATGGATCATCACCAAATTGCTCGTGGATCGCTGGAAGAAGTCGCTCTTGCAGGACGTTTTGATACCATTCTTTATTCATGGCAGTGTTTTTGGGCAGAATTATGAGAGAGCCCACTCCCTTGATTGAAAAGCATCTCCACACATGGATGGTCTCAGGATGCTTCAATGTTGGCACAACACAGGACTCATGGTAGCGTTCACCTTTTCTTCTCCGAACAATCGATTTTCCAGATGTCCCAAACAGTCAGAAGGGAGCTTCATCAGAGTAAATAACTTTGCACCAGTCTTCTGCCGTCCAATCCTCGTACTTCCTGCAGAATTTCAATCTGTCCTTGACGTTTTTCTTGGAGAGAAGTGGCTTCTTTGCTGCCCTTCTTGACACCAGGCCGCTGTCCAAAAGTCTTGGCCTCACTGTACGTGCAGATGCTCTCACACCAATCTGCTGCTATTTCTGAGCAAGCTCTGCACTGCTGGTGACACGATTCCATAGCTGAGGAGATGGCCCTGGCGCTTGCTGGACACTCTGGGACGTCCTGAAGACTTCTTTACTGCAGTTGAACCTCTCTCCTTGAAGTTCTTGCTGATCCGGTAAATGGTTCTTTCAGGTGCAATATTCTTTGTGGCATGTGAGGCCATTTTGATGCACCGCGATGATGGCTGCACGTGTTTCTTTGGAGGTAACCATTGCTAACAAGAACACAATGATTGGAAGTGCTTCTTCCCTCCTTTTATAGCAATCAGTCTGCTCTTACAATCTAACTAGTATGATAGTGATTTGACCTGACTAGTACTCATTCACACTTTCACATGTGCTGCTGATATGATTAGTCAATGATAGCTGGTCATTTTGTGTCAGGATCCAAAAAACAGTGACATTTTTATTTAATTATTTTGTGAAAAGTTCGTTTTTTGGCCAATGAAGCTTTTAGCAATTATTTCAAATGCACCTGATCTCTCTACACAATCTAGAAACAATGTGAATGAACACCACAACAGCTTAAGCAAAACACAAAATGTATGCCACTGCCAAAACTTTTGGCCATGACTGTATGTATATATAAACCACACAAAAAACTTTATGTAACTATGTAACTTTTTCTGTGTTCAAAATTTGCAAAATGTATATAATGAGTGAGTACATCATGAATTCATCTTCCAACCCGCGTTTTTGTCTTATTCCGAATCACTACGGTACACTTATAATAAGTGCTTATATTCGGACTATTGTAGCCTGGTCACCGCTGCGGAGTAACACATACCTGCGTGAATCGCCATATAGACATAAACTTAGAGAAGTAGTTCTGTTTATTAACCGCTAGAGTGCCAAAAGTTGCATAGTGATGCTTTTAACATTAAAATGAAAATATACAAATAAAAACTACTTCAAAATATTTAAAAAAAATTACAATTGTATCTCAGTTATCCTAAAATAGTACTGGTATGGCCAAATTCACAGCATTCATAAAACTCAAAATGTATCCAGATGATCTGCTTCCACTGTAATTCTTTTTATTAATTTTTTAAATTTTTTAATTAGACGTTAAAGACATAACATGCAACATTTACAACTTTAACAAGACATCCAAAAAGATAACACAATTAAAGGAATGGGTTTACATTACATAGAAAAAAAATCAATAATAATACATAAAGAAACGTAATTTTCAAGTAACTTCAACTCTTTAGCGAATAAAATTGTATCTCTACATTTTTTGTTATCAATACATTGGAGAGACTCAAAATACAAATGAAAATCAGTCATAAAGACCTATTTCTTTTACTTTTATGAATATGAAATTTACCAAATAAAATCATTAGATTCATCATAAAATTAACAGATGCATTTTTTGATTCAAAATATAAGATACCATCTTTGGATGTTAATTCACAATTATAACCAGATTTCTGTTGAATATATATAGATGGTAACATTCCAAAAAAAAGATGTAGAATTCTTTCTGGCTGATCTGAACAAAATGAACATTTTTCATCAATATCCATACATTTTGATAAAGTATAGTTACTAACATAAATATTACGAAGTACTTTCAGATGTATTTCCCGAAGTTTGTTAGATATACACTTCCGCTGTAATTCTGAAGTACACATCCAGTGGACACTTAGCCGTAAGTCCAAGAGTGAGTAGGGAAGGCAGGAAAGTGTCAGCTGACCACAGGTCACATAGCAAGTCCAACATGTGTGTCCGGATTGCAATCATACTACACGCATGCATACTTTATTGAACTCATTTTATTACATTTTTAAATACATTTTGAACAAATGTAGTACCTACTCAGACAGCACGTGATTTCGGATACACTGACATTTTATTTCAATATTACTTTTATGGTCAACTAAAGTAGTTAGTTTTAACAATAATAACCCTGTTCAATATGTGTTTGTCTTTGGTAAACAGCAAAGATCTTTGTTTCTAGATCCATTAGGTCCATCCAGATTCTGAAGAGAAAATCGCAGACGTGTCAAAGGTCAGCTTCAGCTGAGAGCAGGTGGGTGTTCATGTTTAAAAGCGTGACGCTTAGGTCTAAACGTTAATGTTTCCATATTCACTGCCCAAACCCAGAATGGCTCATTGTGTCTGACTGTCAGGGAGGAAGCCTTTTCTCAGAAAGCTGTGCTCCAGAGGCAGATCAGAGGGGAAGTGTTCAGCATCCTGAGCAGTTTGGCAGATCTCAGCAATGCTATTCATTGGATGCCGCCTGGATTCCTGTGGGCTGGACGGTTTCCTCCATGGCTGGTGGGACTGATGGGAACGACCTCCTCACTGATAGGCCTTCTACAGATGAGCTCCGGTGATCAAGGAGCATGCTCCTGAAGCGTCACTGGATAGCTTTACTTAGGGTGACCATACGTGCCATTTTCCCAGGACGCGTCCTGGCCAGGATTTCTATATATGCAGACCGATCGGTGTATGACATCAAAATACCACACAGACGGTTCCTTATGCTTTCAAAATGCTCTCGAGGTATTTTGATGTCATGCACCGATCGGTCTGCACACGCAAACAAAGCCAAAACCTAGATATTTTAGGCAATATAGAAATCCGCGTCCTGGGAAAATGGCACGTATGGTCACCCTAGCTTTACTCTTACAAATCTTTGATTTCAAATCTGTTGCTATTTGTAATAATTATGCGTTATGTCATAATTAATTATTTTGTTTAATAATGTGCAATTTATGCAGGCTAACTGAGAAATCTGTACACTGGTGAATAATAATAATAATAATAAAAAGTTTTATATTTAATTGTATATAGATGAATGTATTCGAGAAAATGTGCCATTTGAAAACTAATAATGTGGAAATGTTTCAAACGTAATTGCGAAATAAATGATTTTTTTTTTCAATGACAATTGGAGAAGCCTTTAATTTCTCATTTATATTTTTTAGAGTCATTTTTATAAGCATTTAAATAGAAATTCTGTGCACCAGTGTTGCCAAGTCCGCGGTTTTCCCGCGGAATCGGGCTACTTTATCACTGTTGCCGCGGGTTGTTTTTCATGTCCGATATTATGTATTTAGCCCGTGGAGTGCGCCAAAAACATGTATTTTACCCCCCCGGAACACGATTTTTAACTGGGAGCCCTCCTCGAAATGCCATTGGGCAAGTTTTGAGTAGCAATTGTGCGGGTTTTGTTGTGAAGACCTGGCAACCCTGCTGTGCACCTCGTTTGACGACACGATGGATTAGTTAGGTCTTGTCCTGGTGCGCATGCGCAGTGCTGACGTTCTGAACTACATTGAAGTTGTGTGGAGTCGCACAATAACAGCGAAACCCGAATATAAGTTCTGCGTTCTGTACAACAATGTATTCCGTTCATTTGTAGGACTGTCTCATGGAAACACGACATGCTTTTGACCAATCTCCAGCCATTTAAGCGACGACTAAGTTACCAGAATATGCGTGATACTGCTGGATGATTAACGTGAGTTATTGATGGGGCTCTAGATAAAAGGTAAGCTGTTGTACTAAATAACATTACATTTAATTTACAAATCTTTCTTAATTGTGTGCTTGGGTTATCAATTTTGCCCTTGACACGCGCTCATATTTGCATGCTCGTATGTATAAACAATATACTTTGATGGGAACTGAGCAATGAACCTTATTCAAATACAATGGTATTAACATAGTTCTCAGATTTACATACTACAATGTGTATTTTTTCATACTTTTGACGACTTAACTATAATTATAAAATGGGGGAAATAATAATATTAAAGATTGAGTAGATATAATGAAACACTAGTCACTAGTTGCTTTAATCTCACACTTTGCTAATCTGTTGTTTAGGTGCTTTTACATGCATCAAGGCTCTTCTGGAAGATGAATGTGTATTAAGGGTCTTAAGGGAAGCTGAGAAGTTGCTGGATGAGGTGAGGAATTGCCAGTAGTAATGGCAGATGGTTTTCTCTACAATGGAGGTTTGGAGTCAGAACAGAGTTCCCAACCTGCTGCTTATGATTCCTCGAATGCTCAAACCGAAGCTTCAGCCCAGGACGCAGATTGGGCTCCTGATGGTTCTGACTTCTCGACTAACCGTGCTGAATCCACAAATCTGCACAGTGAAAATCGGCAGAGCCCTGAGTCGGAGGATCCAGATTCCTATAACCCCATCGAGCCCCCGCCACTGGACTGGAGGTCCGACTCTTCCAGCGAGGCCGGTTCGGTTGTAGGGCTTGAAAGCCGTTCGGTGGGAGATTTAGAGGCTCCTGGATCTTTCGACACGGGGTTGAATGAAGACACGGTGTCTGCAGTAAGCGACTACGGAGCTCAGGTCTCCAGCGACGCTTCTGACAAAACCGAAGAGCTTTTAGCTCAAGAAATGTGTGAGAATAAGCCTGAAGTGTGTGTTTTTCAGCAGCAGGATGGGCAGCAAGAAACAAAAGAGAAATACGTAGAGGATAGAGAATTGAGGAATGAAGAGAAAATCAAAGACAAAAGTGCGAAACATGATATTGACCACTCGCACATTCAGAGTCTCCTCACTCAGCTCCATCTTTTTCATCCATCAGCTACTTTAGAGAATCCACTGCACCACTGCACACCTGATGAATCAGCCAGTCGCGGCGCTCCACACAAGTCGAATACTCCAGCGGAGGCCGCTGCGTCCTCCTTCCAAGAGCTTGAGTTTAGTGTCCAGTCAGCATGTGCAGATGCGGACAGAAACGTCCCTGAAGCTTTGCTCTTTTCACATGAGTATCAGAAAGATCTGCTACAGCTGCTAGAGGCACCAGAGGCTGCCCCACTGTTTGTTCACGCACCCCCGGTGACCCCCAAACATCAGTCAGGGCTCAGAAGGCAGAGCAGTGATGCAGATGAGATGATCTCCATATCTCACAGCGAAGACGCTTGGCACAGACACCTGCAGGATGAGCTGTTGGTCTCAGGAATCATAGAGGAGGAGCAGTGGACGGCATCTAAAGGCCTTAGCGCGGATCAGTCCGGCTCCCCAAACAATGATCTGGTGAGATTTTAGTCCTTTTAAATTGTAGATCGTTAGACTGAGTTCCGATGTGGGAAACATCTTTCTTAACGTCTTTCCCCATAAAAGTCCATTGCTTGACAGAAAAGCATTTAAAGCATTTTACACAGCTGTTTCTATGGAAGCCCATTTCTGCCGTGGAATAAAACGATATTGATAATTGCGACTTATCTCACATTCTGACTTTCTCGCAATTTGGTCTTTAGATCTCACTTTTGTAATTGTACATCTCGCAATTCACAGAAATGATTTCTGGAGTAAACGCACAATTCTGACTTCATTTCTCCAATTTCAAGTTAATGCCTCGCAATTAACGTCTCACAATTCTGACTTTATTTTCTTGCAGTTCAGAATTGATAAAGAATCTGAATGACGATATGTTATCTCAATATTCAATACATATACTTAGATTTGAAATGAAGATTGTGAGATAAGATAAGATTTTTTTATTTGTATTTGTATTTTTTTTGAATTCCATGAAACAGGGTTCAAGGGCTGCCCCCTAATAGTCTACGAGAAGGGGACCAAAAAGAAAAAAAAACCTCCACAGGAGGTGGCGAAGTCACGTTCTCCGTGACAGACAGATCATTAAAAGTGACTTCATCACTGCAGCCGAAAATACAGAAAACACGAATTTATTGATTAATTATTAGACAAGTTTTATGCGTGCGCTTCAGCGCTGATAGGCAATTAAAGGCTCATTATTATGAATTATATGGCTATTATATGAATTATATATATATATTATATGGCTTATTAATATAAACGTGTGATTAGTCGACTAATCGCTTTAAATGAGCAACTATTAGTTGATCAGAAAAATCTTTAGTCAAGGGCAGCCCTACAGGTTTCCAAATGTTTCTGCACATGTAATCAGAGCAGATGTTATCATGTAATCTTCAGCGTCACGTTTGACGTTGTACACCCACGTCTCCGTGAATGTGGAGTCGTGGCTTTCCACGTAAAATGGAAATTGAGCTTCAGGGGGTATTTTTCATGTACTCTTACAAACAGAGAGTTGGGAATTCCGACTTTCTGAGCTGAGCACCGCAATGAAACCAACGAGTTCAGTTGTTTTTCTTTTGTCTTTTAACAGGAAGCTGAGACACAGCCGGCTTATAAGAGTGGTATGAAGCTCAGTGTAGAAGTATTTACAAGTTGTACATTCATAGCTCTTGTGATGTAGTTGATAATGTCATTTGTTGTTGTTTTAAGTGCCTGGACCATGTGATCCTGAAGACCTCCTGGAAGGGGTGATATTTGGAGCTAAATATCTTGGATCTACACAATTACAGTCCGAGAAAAATCCCTCCACCAACGCCCGGATGGCTCAGGCGCAGGAAGCTGTGGATCGCATCAAGGTGGAAGAATATTATTTATTTATATATAAAAAAAGCAAATTTTTTGTCAAGTATAACGACAAGACTCAACAATGAGAATCATAACTGCAGGCCCAATTGGGGCCACTGTTATAAATTTAAAATGAATAATAATTTAATAGTGTTACGAATGATTATAGGTGGATCTTATCACATAAACAAGACAAAATTCTGCATCCAGGCACAATTTTTAAAAAAGCCTCTTATTTGCAGGGCTACATATTAAGAAAACTCAAATCTTCATCTAATAACGCATGCACAAGCTCCCATGTTCCATTCACTCTGTGTATGTGTGTTTTAATGTGAATAAAAGCCTAGATTAAATCTGTTAATCACATACAGTGATTATTTCTCTTCTCTTCGTTTAAACTGCTCAATTCCTATGGATTCATTTAACAGTGCCTTTATGACATTTTGGATCTTCAAAGTTTTGGTTACCTGGACTTTTAATGAATTGACAGAAACCTCTTAGGTTTCTTATTTTGTGTTTCGAAGCTTAACCAAAGTCTTATGGGTTCGGAACGACTTGGAATGATGGTTAGGATCATTTTCAACCTATTAAAAAGTTTGGCTTGGACCACTAAGGAAGCGCCCACAACACTCTTTCATTATAGTGTTGAGTTCTACATGGGGAAACCACTACTCGCGGTTTCTTTAGAAATTCAAAAAATCTAGTTTGACGGTTTTAACTCGGCTAATACACCTTTTGATATATTTGCATGTGTATCTAGGCACCTGAAGGAGAGTCTCAGCCTATGACAGAGGTCGATCTGTTCATTTCTACACAGAGAATCAAAGTACTGAGTGCTGACACACAGGTTAGACAAAAAAAACACACCTGACAGTCCTTCTTATGTTCTGTGAGTGCTGTCTTCTCTGATGTGTGGCTGATTTCTCTCATGCGTCCAGGAGGCCATGATGGACCATGCTCTGCAGATGATTTCATACATCGCAGACATTGGAAACATCGTAGTTTTGATGGCCCGCAGGAAGCCAGCCAATCGCAAATCGGCAGACTCGCCGGCTAGCTCTGCAGCACCACCGAAGAAGTGCTGGATGATCTGCCACGTGTTTTCTTCAGAGGATGTGAGTGCTTTCTGTGTGGTGTCCACCTTGATAAAGAGTTGGTTTGCAGTGGATAGTCAAAGTGTTCCGTTGTCATTATTATAGGGTTCTTATTATGCATTTACTTATAAATGTCTATTGAGATATTATTTGATCTACATTTAATAGTTTCTTACTCTTATTTGTGTCTTCTTTAGGCTCAGATCATCGCACAGGCCATTGGTCAGGCTTTTGGTGTCACATATCAGCAGTTTCTGTACACTAATGGAATAAAAGCTAGTGATCTGAAGCCAGGCGAGTACAGCGATTACCTCGGCACTCAAGAACTTTATAACGGAGACCTGGTTCACTTTTCTCGCTCTGAAAACATCAGAGAGGTGAGGATGTCTTCCCTTCTATGTGGATCCATGCCGAAAGCTGTTGTTCTCAACACTGTTTTGTAATTTACTATGGCCCATTCACCTCTTTTTATCTTCAGGTGTGCATATCAAAAAAGCCAGGAGAGATATTAGGCCTCGCGATCGTGGAGTCTGGCTGGGGCTCCATCTTGCCGACTGTGGTAGTAGCCAATCTGCTGCACGGCGGCCCTGCGGAAGGTTCTGGAGAGCTGAGCATTGGCGATCGCATCATGTCCGTTAATGGCACCAGTCTGGTGGGCCTCCCCATCACCACCTGCCAAAGTATCATACGAGTAAGACCAGCCAGAAATGAAAATTAAAGCTAATTCCTCTGCATCGCGTGTCAAAATGTTGAATTATCATATTCTCCAGGATTTAAAGAACCTGTCGATAATAAAGCTCAGCATCGTTCACTGTCCACCTGTCACCATGGCGATCATTAAGCGTCCAGACCCCAAGTATCAGCTGGGCTTCAGCGTGGAAGACGGGATTGTAAGCAACTGTTTGCAACACATTTTTTTGACACTATGTTTGTAAAACTGTACTGAGTGTCTGACATTCAGTCAATGTGATTTCTGCAATAGATTTGCAGTTTAATGCGTGGTGGAATAGCTGAGCGGGGCGGCATTCGAGTTGGTCATCGTATCATTGAGATCAATGGACAGAGTGTCGTAGCTACACCTCACGAGAAGATCATTCACATCCTGACCAATGCTGTAGGAGAAGTAAGAGGAGTGTATTGCACTTTAAACAAATCACCCACTTTATACTATATTAAAAACTATTTGAAATGACATCTGATCATTCAGACTTTAACACGATCCACAAAAATCAGTTATTAATCCGATTTCAAACCATATATATGGATGTGGCTTGGATCTTGTTACGTTTTTTATTTCTCTTCAGACTACATGAAACAAAACTAAATTTTCAAAAACTTGAATCATAGTATTTCTTTTTTCTGGTTATTGAAGTCTACATAGTGCAGGGGTGCCCAAACTCGGTCCTGGAGGGCCGGTGTCCTGCAGAGTTTAGCTCCAACCCTAATCAAACACACCTGAAGCAGCTAATCAAGCTCTTACTAGGCATGCTAGAAACTTCCCAGCAGGTGTGTTGAGGCAAGTTGGAGCTAAACTCTGCAGGACACCGGCCCTCCAGGACCGAGTTTGGGCACCCCTGGCATAGTGTAATAATACATTTTATAATAAAAAAAAAATTAAGTATTTCAATGTTTAAATATGTCAATGAAAACAAAACATGTGTGAACACATGCCTTTGGCCTTCTTTGTTGTTACTTCCGTTTTACTGGAACTTTAATTCAGACTTCTTTTCCATGTTGTGACATGCATCAGAGTGTACGGTTAATCTACAAATCAAGAATGTAGGGCGCTGAGCAGGTTCTATGCATCGGTTATTGATCAGATATGAACATTGCACTCAAAAATGGATACAGATGAGTGTGAGCCTCCAGGGGTGGGTTTAAGCTGACTAAATGATTCATCACCAGAGAAAAGTCTTGTCATTTTCACCCAGTTGTGATCTTACAATTACATGTTCTCAGCAAGAGCTGTAACATGCATTTAGAAAATAGATTGTGCCGACTTTAAAGTAGCAGTAATAATCATTTTTATTTGATTTGTACCAGATTCATCTGAAGACTATGCCGACATCAACGTACCGTCTCCTGACTGGCCTAGATCAGCCGGTGTTCCTTTAGGAGGCGGGTCCTCTCAGGTCCTCTCGGTCACATGCACATGCCACTGAACACTTGACTGAAGTGTAGAAAAGGGCTCTGCCTTTTAGCAGATGCATTAAAGCTGAACAGTGTAAGAATGTATAGAGATCATGGACCTCCAATTTAAAGCTGTTTTAGAGCTGCTGGTTTGCATGTGTACATTTGTTGTTTTTGCTCTTGCTGCTGAGCCAAGGTGCCTGAAGACGAGCCTTGTGTTTGAATGACTATGCATTAGAATCCACACTCAGATCATCTTGAGCCTCCCATCTCAAGCTTCCAGCACTTCTCCACTACCGCAGAACAGATTTGATGTTCAGTGTTTTTAAATGGTTTACATGCTCTTTACAGAGCTCAAGAATTAGTGCCTGTAAAAACATGAATGGACCTATGCCTTGGTTTGTTTTTAGCTGTAGAGAGAGGTATATTTTAATAACTGCTGTATTAGATGTTTATTAAAGATAGTACATAAAGACAGTTTTCCTCGTCTTGTGTGTTTAATTAAGAATATAAAACAATTATAATTTTTTTTATATAAGCTAAGCCTTTATAAACACCAATGTCTGTGTGTGTGTATATATAGTCAATATAAATAGCAGGATAAATCCTCACAGGATATATGCAGAATCTTTAATAATTACATTTCGACGTCCTCACTGTCCCAAGTGCCGGAAATTGCGCAGGGTTTATGTAAAGCCTGAGTGGGTGGGCGCTAAATGAACACAAAGCAACTGATTGGCTACATGTCTTGAGTGCAGCGCTCTCTATTGGTTACAAGCCCAATGTTTTGAATGTAAGCCCCGCCCATCTCGGTATTTCCTCAAACTGTGGTCTCGTAACGCCGGTAGCGCGCGCGGACTGCAGACCGTCTACATCCATGAAGCATTGGAAGTTTGGGATAAAACGAAAGGTAACAGCATTGCACCCGTGACTACTGTGTTGTTTATAGACATTAATAGCGAACGTTAAAGTTACAGTAGCGGTACTGAATCATTCGACGTTATATGACCTGCAATGCACGGATTATTACTTATTAATGACCCATTTATATAAGCTATACTATATTCTATATTATGACACTGTAAGGAAGACTAGTAAAATGATTTCTAATTGAAAAAGTAATTCATTGACTTCCACAATGGGTGAGATGTCCATTTGTGTTCCACAGAAGAAGGCCCTTTATTGAGTTGAATGGCTTTTCAGCTTAGCGTGAGCAATAGTATATGCCATTGTATTTGCATGGTGGAAGAGTAGTTGTTGTTGTTGTTGCAGGTTTCCTCTGTTGCCATGGCTGTGTAGTTTTGTGCCGTCCATCATGGCCATTGGAACACAACTCTACCTGCTGCTGTGGAAAAACTTCACATACCGCAGGAGAAATAAGGTGTCGTAACTTTAATCCAGCCGCAGCACACTTACACACTCTGTCAAACACTGTGCAGTCTGTCTACAGTCAGGGATGTAATAAAACATGATCATGTCGTCTTCTTTCTTTTACAGGTCCAACTGATTATTGAACTCCTGTGGCCGCTCTTCCTCTTCCTCATCCTCATTGCTGTCCGGCAATCAAACCCACCATATAAACAGAGCCAATGTAAGTGGTGCCCTGTGAGCGTGAGTGTTGCCCTCTCCTCTTGGCAGGTGGCAGGAAAGCAAAGCTGATTAGCTACAGTGAAAATCAGGACATTGTTGAGCCCTTGTGACATTGTTTATACTAAATCATGACCTTTTTGATGGCTCGCCTGAAGGAATTTGAGTCATAATGACATGAGGACATTTTTAAGTGAAATGTTGCACATTTCCATAATAAGGGTAAGATATTAAAGGGGATGTGTGTCATTTTTTCCCTTACTAAAATAGTACTAAATGATTTATCTATGTGCATCGTTATTTAAAAAAAAAGATAAATTAATTTATAAGTCCATGTGATATTAAAATTGACATTTTTTTACTTTGTTAGTGCACATTGCTAGTCTTGTGGTGAATTATCATTCCAACTTTAAAGGGTTAGTTCACCCAAAAATGAAAATTAGCCTGTGTTTTACTCACCCTCAAAGTATCCTAGGTGTATGTGACTTTCTTCTTTCAGACGAATCCAATCGGAGTTATATTAAAAATTGTCCTGGCCCAACCAAGCCTTTCAATGGGGGTAAGTGGGTGTTCGTTTGTCAACAGTTCAGAAGACGTGAAGTAAAGTGGCTGTCATACGCAGAAGGCGTTCCAGCGGATGACGTAAGACGTCGACGTTGCGTGATAAGTGACGAACGCGGAGACAAAACAAAACGACGTTCATGAATTAGAAGCACAAAACGAGGATTTGTAAAGAAAAATGTCGGAGGATTTCGATATAAGCCAAGAGGAGACTGGTTTTCCTTTGCTAAAGTAAGGAAACTTTGTTTCCTTTGCTCCTGCACTTCTCAGAGGCGCGTGCACGATGCAGGCATATGTCTTACGTCATCAGCCTGAACGTCTTCCGCGTACCACAGTCAGTGGAAGTGAGAAAAAAGTGTTTATTATGTTTGAAATATAGATATTTATCTTACAAAAATGCATGGATTTGCTACAGGAGGCCTTTATTCACCCCCTGGAGCCGTGTGAGGGACGTTTTATTACGGATGCGCACACTTTATTTCACGTCTTCTGAACTGTTGACAACCGAACACCCGCTTACCCCCATTGAAAGGCTTGGTGGGGCCAGGACAATTTTTAATATAACTCCGATTGGATTCGTCTGAAAAAAGAAAGTCACATACACATAGGATGCTTCGAGGGTGAGTAAAACACAAGCTAATTTTCATTTTTGGGTGAACTAACCCTTTAAAGGTGCACTTATTTTTTGTGTGGATGATACAACAGTGTTTGTGCACTTTATACTGACACTTATTGGTATGGATGCAGCACCACACAAAAACAATTTTTTTTAATACTGATACCATTGTAGAAATACACTTTATTCACAGGCATATTTGGCAACCGTTTTTATTAATTAATTCCGCAAATAAAAGTGTTTAATAGGATCATAAGTTTACACAAGTAGGGGGCCATTCAAAAAAGAACGCATTTTTGCATTCCACTGCGCTGCTTTTCCATCGTTAGACTTTGTAAATTTTTGCTAGAAGGATGTCTTTGACTGTTGTACTCACAAAAGCGTTTTTTTCGGCATCTTGTGCATGACACAGGGTTCTAATAATGCAACACTATAAATGTGTCTTAGAGTTCAGACCTTGCACTTTTTTTTATTCCATTGCCAAGCATCTCACATTTTTAAACGCAAAAATGTGTTCTGCCTTAATAGCCCCTAAGTGTACATCATTAGAAAATATTTTAAAAAAGTTTTTTAACCTGTTTACTGTCAGTGTCCCGCTAGCAATAAACTTAAAAAACAGCAATAAACTTCAGCTGATTGTCTTCTTTAAAAAGCTTCGGTCTGTATTCCAAAATGTTCATGAAATAAAACCATTTAAGTTTGGATAGTGCATTTTCACATCTATGTTCAAAATAGGAGTTGACAGTTAAGAGGTTAAATTAATAGAAATTATGTAAAATGTATTTATGTTTGAATGTTTCACATTAAATGTTGCTGATCTTTTTTTCATTTCAGGTCATTTTCCCAACAAGGCCCTTCCTTCAGCAGGCACGCTGGCATGGGTTCAGGGCATCATCTGCAATGTCAACAACCCCTGTTTTCATTACCCCACAGTGGGAGAAACACCCGGGCAAGTGAGCAACTTCGACAATTCCATGTGAGATACCTTTCTGAGATACCTTTTCATGACTTTTCTTTTCTATGGCCTTGACCGTTGATGGAGGTTTATGCTCTCATTCTCAGACTCTCTCGACTTTTAGTCGATATCAGAACTGTCCTGACAATCAGTGGTAACCGGACAGTTCTCTCCAGCCTACAGGACCTGTCACAGGCAATCCAAAGACTTGGGGAAAGACCAGATGCCTGGCCAAGTATGACATGTTAATCAAATGTCTCATTGTAGAAGCCTAAAATCCCATATGAGATGTATTCAGTATCTCAATTGTTTCTCAAAGACACACATTTGATGAAATGGGGAGCAAATGGTGTTCAGTTATTAAGATGAAACATTTTAATATAAGCATGCTGCACTTTGAAAAGCATGTAACATTTCTGTGGTTTTGTGACACACTTGAAGATCTTCCAGTAAGAGAGTATCTCAGAGCCAATGAAAGCTTCTCCTCCTTCCTGCGAACAAACACCAGCATCCCCTCAGCATCTGTGGATCAATTATTGAGGGCACGATTGAACCTTCAAGTGGTAAGAAATAAATTTTAAAAAATTTTATGAAGTGCTTATAATCCTCCTCTGGAAACTTAGACTCTGAGCTTTTGTAATGACCTAAATGTAACTTGACAGTGCAAAAAAATTAATTGCCCTTGAGCTGTTTCCATACATAATTTCACCTATTGCGCAAACTATATAGGCTAGTAGCCTGTTCTTTCATCCATTTGAAACAAAAAAGTTTATTATATAGCCTATTATTATATTGTATAGGCCTACATAAAATTATTTTTATTAACAAGTTTCATTTTTTTTGTACTTTGTAATAGACTATTTAGTTATTTGATCATCAAGCAATATTCATAAACAGGTGCAGTTGTATTATTATTATTATTTTTCTGATTAACATTTATTAGACTGTATTGGAAATAGGAATGTTCATTTTGGTTATTTTATTTCTCCTAACCGACACCCAACGGTCGTTAAGCCATTATTAACCGTTAACCGACAAGACTATGATAAATTACAATTAAATTAAATTTCAGTTGATACGTGGCTGTGACCCATTAAAAATACCTAAATTTGTTTTCCAGGGATTAATTTTATATACGCAAAAATCAGCATAAACAACAGAAAGTGAGGATTCACATGGTCACGTACCTGCAGCGCTTCTGCAAACGGAGAAAAAAAATAAAGCTATATATAAAAGAAATAAATAGGCCTATATGCGAAATGTATTTTTCTAAATAATTCATAAATTAACAAAACGAAAGAAAAAAAACTGTGCAACAAGTAGCAGCCTATATGCAGAATTTCGGTTCATTTTTGTGATGCGCTCTTGAGAAAGCGGCATCCTGTTTGTTTCCTTTATTTTACAAAAGAACAATATTTGTTTTTATTGTGGATGTACACAAATAAAAGAAATATTTAGAATAGTTTCGAATAATAACTTATTCTTATATGACCACAAATGAACGAGTATTGTAAGTTGTTTCCACTTTTATAAGGAAAAAAAAATCAAGTGATCGTGCGCACGCAGTTAAGCATTACTAACTCAACAACTTTCATCTTCAGAACAAAATGAATACATTTGAACTTGCAACGTATTAAAGCAACATTAAATTAAGATATGTATGTTTGAGAGGTAACTCGTCTTTTTCTTACCATATATAAAATAATTTTAGAAACAATAATTTCAATATGATTTAATGCGCTTTTGAACTACAGAGAA